TGTGAAAAAGTAATCAAATGGTATAGTCCTCTTTTTCCTCTTTTGCATCTCACCACCAGGTCTTTACCCTTTACCTTAAATAAATGTCAAGTATTTTCTCTTATATCTCTTATAAACCAAGTAGTCTGACTTTTTCTTTTTGTATACTGCAACTTTTGCCAATTCTGTAACCCATGAAAGATGGTGAACCACATTTCTGGAAAGGGAGAGAAAAGACTAACTAGTAGTATTGTTTTTAAATTTATAAGCATTAAATGTTAATTTTACATTCAGATAAGCATTTAAACAATAAAAACAAAGGACTTTTTAATTTATTTAATTTATAAGCATTAAATGTTAATTTTACATTCAGATAAGCATTTAAACAATAAAAACATGACAATTTTGACAATTTCAGCACTGGGAAATAGTGCTGATTGAAATGAACTGAGTGATGGCTTTTGGATGCTCCATAGTACTTAACAAAAAGTAGACAGCAAACAGATACTTCTGGCATCTCTGTGTTATTGGTCAGTGACACATCCATTTTGATGCTAACTCTCCTTGCGATGAGTAGGCTTGACATCCTAAGATGGGGATACAAGTCAGAGAAACATTTATTAGACCTATGGAGAGTACAGTACAACAGGAAAAAGAAAGGAATCTCTCACAATTAAATACAATCTTAAAACTTACTTGAATTAGAGAGGAGTGTGGTGTTTTCATCTGAATGTAGATGACCAAACAAGTAATGCTGCACTCCATAGTCCAGACCTGCAGTGACAGTACAAAATATGTATTTATTTATTAATCAATCATAAGAATCTGCATGATAAAATGTGGAAAATCGAAGAAGAAAAAAAGATATCAGTAACTTCAGATTAGATGATTGATGAGTTTCCCAAAGTTGGTACTGTGAGGAAAAATAAATAATGTACCTTTTGTGTTATTGTTTTGCAGGAAGTTGGTCATGTTTCCTCTGACTTCCACTTTTCAGCACTCTGATAAGGTGGTGGTAAAACTTTAAAAGTGCTCTCTGAGATAGATGAACATCTACAACAACCAAATACAGTGTGTTTAGAATAATATACAATTACTTCAGCAAAACAAATAATTATATTTTACTATACTATAACTGCAAACACCAAATACTCAGTTATCCACAGAAAAAATGGAAACATCTCCATCAGCTTCTCTCTTTGTTCTTCTGGGTTTTAATTAATGTTTATAACGGCTGTCTGACGGTGATTTGACCAAAACTTTGTTTCACCTTTTCCTATACATATAACGTTAGGTCCAATTCAATCTACAGGGCAAAAAAAATATTAGGATATAACATTAACATGAACTCTCGCCAGCATTATTGATCAATTCACAACAGTTTTATCAAGATACTTTAGGGATTCATGTTAAAAATGACAAACCTCCCGGCGGAGAATTGCGCAGGCCTGGACAACGCGATAAACCACCTTTCTTCTTTTTAGCTTCTTGAAATAAACGTGTAATGTTAGGCTAACTAAACATGACAAGGGTTTAGGTAAAAGTAATTGAAATAAGCTGAAATTAATTAATTTTCTCACTTACCAATGTAATCGTCGTTCTCCCGAGCGCTGAAGTTTAAACAGCGGCGCTCGCGTGCTTATTAGTGATCACTCTCACGAGTATGGAAGGCCAAAAGGGCCAAAAACACATGAATTTTAACACGTCAACAACACATTAAACACGCGTATTTCACGCTATAAAAAACACGTATTTAACGCGTTAAATACGTGTCGTTTACGCGTGAAAAATCTGCGTGTTAAATACGTGTATTCAACGTGTTAAATACGTGTGAAATACACGTGAAATACGTGTTAAATACACGTGAAGTATATGTGTTAAAAATCAGTTTGAATGGGTCAGTGTCATTGGCTGCTGAGGACTTGGGTCAAACCACTTCTGGGAGCTTAGGGGGGTGTACCATTCATAGACTAGGCAACCACCATTCAACATGCAATAGATCAGCTTATTCAGCCTAATTATTTTTTTCTTCTTTTTCTTTTTCTTTTCCTTCTTTTTTTTTTTTGTATAGCCTGTTGAAATAATATATTTAAATTGCAGTTTAATGAAAAATGTTATAAAAATAAAATTGCCTCGTTTTTCTCCACTCATGCCTTTTTGTAAATAAACACATTAGTGGACATTCTAGCTTTATCAGTGATCAAACTTAAGTTAGCATCTAAGCATTAACATTTGTCTGGGGAAATCAGTTACAATGGAGGTAAGCAATCAATGCAGGTTTAAGATACAGACCATTGCAATCAATATTTGTCTTTGGAAAACAATCAATATCTTTGTAATCAACAGCTTTTATTGTGCTTACATTTACAGCTATCGCCAGCAGGTGGCACTTATTGAAACCTCTTTTTGTTCAGTGATTCTGCACATTTTGTTCAGCGATTATGCACTCATTAGACAAACAGTAATTAGGTACACAGGTGATGTTATAAGACATAAGTATTTAAGACTTTCAAGATTAGAATGAGAGCTTGTACTCTGGTCAGGACAACAGAAATATTCTACTGCTACCACCATTAAAGATCCTTCTATTTCCTTTTTTTTTATTTGTTATTGAAGAATGTTGGTAACCAAACTAATTTAGTATTTTTTTTCTATACTATGGAAGTCAATGGGGATCAACAACGGTTACTAACATTCTTCAAAATATTGTCTTTTATGTTCCACACAAGAAATAAACTCATAGAAGTTCGGAACAACATGAGGGTGAAAAAAATGGTAGAATTTTCATTTTTGGGCGAACTATCCCTTTAAGTCCTGTTATGATCTGACAAGTTCAGTGTTTTAAATGGGTTCCAAATTAAAATCAGTGGTTACTAAAGAGACAAGATATTACTCTGACTGAAGTTGTTTCAATTTGTACTTACCTTAGACATGTCAGCAGCTTAATGTCCTTATATCTTATATATAGCTTCATATCCTTTATATCTTTAAACATACAATGCTTTAATAGTACAATAATATAAGTGCAATAAATTAAACCGTTTAAAAAAAAAAAATTTGATCTATATTGTCTACTGTATAGTTTCATAAGTAGAGTATATGTACAAGTAATATTAATTTTTAAGATTTCACATATGCTTTTATTTCTTTTTTATATGTGAGCAATGGTAACATGACCCAATTTACACCCTGGGATCAATAAATTATATCTATTATCTAATTTATTTTCCACAAATGTGATATATCTTACCAGGTTTCAAATATAAATACTGTCTATAAAAATAAATAATGTCTATGTTATAAGGCTTATTTTATTATTTCTTCACCAAAAATTTCACCTAAAAATTAGCACCAAATAAAACCAGTCAACAATCCATTAACAAAAATATATATAGTTTTATTTTAACATTGCAATAGAACCAATCGACAAGAAGCTACTGTTGCAGAATATTAATTACGGTTTGCAGTGCATCAATAGCCGGACTTCTGACAGGTCCTGCAAGAATGTCCACATCCTGCAGTTGTTGCATCTGTGCCTCGGTTGGACTGAATTGGTTTGCAGGAACTGTTACAACTTCCTACCAATCCACAGCAGGAATTGCACCATCTTGAGCAAGGCTGGGTCCAAAAATCTCATGGCAGTGAGTGATGATGTTTGCCTCTAAAGACATCCTTTGACAAACATCTGATTTGGTGTGTGGTGACCAGCAGTGCGCAATCCATGATTGTTCCACTGTTTCCTGAAAACCTCAAAGTCCCGGTTAATCCGTGGAAGGTGCACATAATGCAGTGCGCAGATGTGTAGCTCATTGGTACAGTCAATGATTCCATCACTCTCAAGAAAGGAGAAAAACTGGTGGTACACATCAGTCATACCCCAGATCCCCTGGATCACTGTTCTATATATAGGCTAGATGTGAAATGTAAAAAATTAAGATTACTTGTACATATGCTCCACTTATGAAACTAAAACCCCAGTCTGTGCAGTCTGTCTTTGTCGGGTCTTAATGTTATGCATGTGTGTCTTCAGCCATTCCTAGTGTGGATTACCCCTTGTTCTGAATTACATTAACCCTTTAAACCCGAGGTGTCCCACCCTCACGAAAAAAATCAAAATCACATTACGAAGCATCCCCTGAATGGAATAGCACAAAATATTTAAAGCTTAAAGCTAAATTTTAAAGCTTAGAATCTCAGCTTTTTAATGAGTGTAATTATTTCGATCAACTCTTAACGAGCGCTAAGCAGTCCCTCTAAACTGAAGTGTACCGCGGGCCCCACGACAATATTACTAATCATATTTTTCAAACCACTGCCTTGATCAACAAAAAATGGATATAATTTGAAAGTTCCTAAGTAACTGCAAAGTAGTGCCAAGTTATTTGCTGATAAATGACAAAAAAATAATCATAATTTACTAAATGTTTTTTTTTGTGCCATGTACTCTAATATGTCAAATATCATACAGCTCGGATAGTCATGTGTCATTTGTCATCGAGTGGAATAAAACAAGTATAATTTTTTTGGGGCTTTGACTAAACTTGAGTGAGGCATTACTTCAAATTCAAAACAACAATTTCAAAACTGTAAAGGGCTAAGATAAGGGCTACCTTGGTTCCAAATGCTGTAACTTTTGATTACTTCATGGTATCACCACAAATACACATGTTGGGGAAGAAAGTCATATACACCTAGGATGCTTTGAGGGTGAGTAAAAACACAGGCTAATTTTCATTTTTGGGTGAACTAACCCTTTAAGTTTGATCACAAAGCTAGAATGTCTACTAATGTGTTTATTTACAAAAAGGCATGAGTGGTGAAAAATTTGTTTTTCATGAAACTGCACTTTAAATATATTTAAATATATTATTTCTATAGGCTATACAAAAAAAAGAAAAGAAAAAAAAAGACAAAATAATTAGGCTGAATAAGCTGATATATTGCATGTTAAATGGTGGTTGCCTAGTCTATGAATGGTACACCCCCCTAAGCTCACAGAAATGGTTTGACCCAAGTCCTCAGCAGCCAATGACACTGACCCGTTCAAACAGATTTTTAACGCGTATTTAACACGTATTTCACGCATATTTAACACGTTGAATACACGTATTTAACGCGCTGATTTTTCACGCGTAAACGACACACGTTTAATACGTGTTGTTTACGTGTGAAATACGCGTTTAATGCATTGTAGACGCGTTAAAATTCACGTGTTTTTGGCCCTTTTGGCCTTCCATACGCGACTAAAATGCGGCGCTGTGCACTGTGCAGACAGGACAAAACTGATCAGCGCATAGATACACGTTCAAGTTGTTTGCCGTTTGTCAAAGATAATTTTATGCATCTGTTTGGAGGGATGAGTTATAAGAATAGCCTTTTAGAATCTAAATGAAACACTGAAACTCCATACGATATGAGCATGTTGCTTGTCAATAAAAGAGCTGTACGGCATCTTACTTGGCATGATAACTAACTTGCAATCATGTTAGTGTGCTGATTAAATAGCAGACTATAGCGTGTACCTATTAATAAATAAATAGATAAAACTGTCCAGATTGCTATACACTCCTAGTACACATGTATTTCTACCTGATCAGTTTGTTGGTATAAATTAATAGTTTGATACAGTGATAGTAGACTTAAGTAAAACCAGTTAATTTAGATGTTAGGCATTTTTTCAGTGTACAGGATCACGTGGCAATTATTTTCTATTAAACTTGAAAGTGCAGATGTAAATTTTTAAGTTTATTTTCTTCGGAATAAAGTGTGTCAAAGTAAAATTGAAATAAAAACACAAATACAATGTAGTATAATAATTTTAAATAGCCTAATGTGTAAACATACATAAAGCATGGTTTAGCCCAAAGAACCCTTTTGTGCCAAAAAGGGTTCTTTCTCCTTATATAGAACCTTTTTGGCATAAAGGGTTCTTTGGAGTTGAGTAAAGAACCATAGGGTTCTATATAGAACCCCAAAGAACCCTTTTTTCTAAGAGTGTACCGAGTGTTGCCGTTTTTTCCATAGTGTTTTGAAGTGCTATAATAATGCTTCCCAGTCAGAGCTTTATGTTTCACTCGGATTATTCACAGGCTAATGTGTTTTGAGACAAAATCTGCAGAGGCTTCCCTTACGGCTGTGTTATAAATGCCTTACCCTTTCACGTCACCTTCATTTTAAAGAAATTAATGTCGGGCTGGTATTTTAAGCCCTGCATAGTTCTCTTTATTAGTTCTGTGGTGCTACACAAATGAAAATGTCAGCGGTATAAAATAGTAACCCTTATTGAAAGAATGAAGACAGGTGTGGGACATTAAATCCCACTCAGATATTGAGTCTTATTGTTCAGAAGTCATGTTTTTTTTCTGAATCGGGTGAGGACAAAAGCCATTGTTCATTTTGAGTAGGTTTTGATACCTTTATAACATTTATTTTTTTTTCTCCTTAGCTGAACTGCGGCAAGCCATTGTGGCCATGATGAACAGAAAAGATGAACTCACTGAGCAGAACACGTAAGATTTTACTGATTGCAGTGATCATTGTGGACTTAACGGATTTTTTGTTCATTCATGAAATACAATCCTAACGAATTTATGTGGAAATCTGTTATCAAAGAATTCTTTTAGTTCGGAATGATTTTAACACCGATGATTGTGGCTATCCTTCCTTGGTGTTGGGCTTAGGTATCCAACATAACGGTTATTCAAATCTTTGCACTAAAAACTGCTATAATAATAATTATTCATGTATTTTATTAATTTAAGTTTACTTTTAATTAGTTGATATCAATATTTTTTATGTAATACGTGTTCGCATTTTGCGCTGGTGGATTGTAACCAGGTTGTAAGTACTGCTTCAAAATGCCAAAAGAAGAAACGGGAGCAAGAGACAAAAAATTGAGAATAGGCAATTTATTGAAAACTGCATTAAAACTCAAACAGGCTGTTTATCAGCTGATCAAAAGTTTAAGACCATAGCCTTAAAAAGTTAAAATCTGTGCAAAAATATGGCTTTCATGTCATTGTCCTTCAGGCAGTCACATTGTCATGATCTCCTGATGGCTAAGGCAAAAACGCTTTCTGTCTTTGAACGTGGCAGGATTGTTGAGCTGCACAAGCAAGGGCGCGCGTAACGCGCCATCGCTGCCGAGGTTGGATGCAGTAAGACTTTAAATTTCTTAAAAGATCCTGAGAGTTATGGGACAAAAAGTTGAAAAGTTTTGACATTTCACTGACCATTTTGTTGAAAAAAACCCAAAAAACCCCCTTGAGTTTCAGTGAGTGGCAGGCCTTTTTTGTACCCTATTTGTGAAAAGTACCATGATGTGCACATTCAATAATGTGCAGCTGGGTAATTATCATGTGCACTTGTAGTCATTAAAGATAGCTAATGAAAAGTGGGTCAGGTGTGTGTGGGTGTCTTACTGTTGTTATACTCTTTGGCACAGGTCTCTGCGCAATCTCCTGGATGGAGAGATGGAGCACTCTGCTGGGCTCAGGCAGGAGGTGGACAGCTTGAAGAAGAGACTGGCTGAACTAGAGGAGAGACATGCAGCCAAAGCCCAAGCACTCATGAGGTACAGTCACTAGATACTAACTGAACAGTAGTCTGACATATTCCGACTATCAGCCTAAACTCTAGTTGACATTACATTGCCAGACAGCACCTCTTTAGACAGACAGCAGCTATCTGACCTACAGTACATGTGAAGCACTGTAGTTTTTTAGTTTAGGGGTGAGAAAGTCTGAAATTGGTGATACCACAGTAATAGACCCTAGCTGGTTCAAATAACTGTTCAGCAGTTAAGTAAATGTTGTAACAGTCAAGTAAATGTTGCACAATAATAGCAAAGAAATAATCGAAAATTGTGTGGTTTTTTTTTTTGAGTCCAGATTTTCAATCTGATCAAATATAGCCTATTTCATTTATGGACGTTTTTTCAGTTATCTCACTAACTTGCAACTTGAAACAAAACATTCATACATTCGATGCCACAAAATTCATAGACTTGAGCTTTGAGGTTGCCAAACAACAGTATATGAGGACATATGTCACTTTGTTTTGATTTATGTGTTCAATTTTTGAATTTTCAATGATGTATCGTGATCCCAATGAAAGATATACCAGTTAGAGAAGTTTGGAGTGAAAAATGGAATCGGTGCATGCAGAGTTTTTGTGTGTTTTGGAGACTAGCTACAGGCTAACAGCTGGCTAATGTTAGCATTGCTTAATATGGAATGGTGTAGTGTTAGAGCTTAAAGGTTGGCTGTGTTTTCAGAAAATATGTTAAAATGATTAAACATCCCTACTGATTCTAATACACTGCCATTCAAATGTTTGGGTTTAGGATTTTCTGATGTTTTTGACTGAGGTGTCTTTTTCTTCCTTAGGCTGCACTTATTTGAGCAAAAATACAGTAAAAGCAGACATACGAAATATTATTTCAATTTAAACTAACTGTTTTCTATTTTAGTACATTTTAAAATGTAATTTAGCTGAACCATTGATGAACCATCAAAGATGAGCCGTTACTCCAGGCTTTAGTGTCACATGATCCTTCAGAAATCATTATAATATGATTATTTGGTGCAAAGCATATAAACAGAAACATATTATTATCTATATATATTGAAACAGTTACAGTTGTGCTCAAAATTATTCATACCCTTAGTAAATATGATCAAAGAAGGCTGTGAAAATTAATCTGTATCATCAATCCTTTAGATATTTTATTTTAAAAATGTACTAAAATCTAACCTTTAATTGGAGAATAAAAATGTAAAATGGGAGAGAATCTCATTATGAAATAAATGTTTTTCTCTAATACACATTGGCCACAATTAACGGCACCCTTTTATTCAATACTTTT